CACAGGAGCGGGGCAAGTAGCACGGGCTATGGTGAGCCCGTAGTGGACTTACCTGGCACAGGAGCGGGGCAAGTAGCACGGGCTATGGTGAGCCCGTAGTGGACTTACCTGGCACAGGAGCGGGGCAAGTAGCACGGGCTATGGTGAGCCCGTAGTGGACTTACCTGGCACAGGAGCGGGGCAAGTAGCACGGGCTATGGTGAGCCCGTAGTGGACTTATTGGCACAGGAGCGGGGCAAGTAGCACGGGCTATGGTGAGCCCGTAGTGGACTTACTTGGCACAGGAGCGGGGCAAGTAGCACGGGCTATGGTGAGCCTCGGTGGTGGAGTGGAACGTCGTTACTTTAATTTGATAAGTGTGGGTTGGATTAGCTATTTCAGCCATGCTATTGTGACATTCTCTGGATTCACGAGGCCCAACCACCTGGGCTGGACGGTAGAGCGACGGTTTCGCTTCATGCAGGTCGGCGTTCAATCCCCAACTGTCCAAGCGGTTGGATATCATTTCTTTCCCCCCCGTCCCACCCCAAATCCTAATCCCTTACCAGTGCTATATAGTCGCAATAGCTTAGGGCTTTCTCCTGATAGTTCCCTTCCTTTCTCTGGATTCACACAATAATTTCCTTCAACAAAAACAAATGTGACAAAGGTTGAGGGAGGCATCGTGTACCGATGTACAGAGGGGCCTTGCAGCAGGGGCCCAAACTGCCTCGAAAATCAGCATGTTAGACATCGCAAGTCATGTCTTCCCTGGAAACACAAACCGAAATTGTCTCTATTTTCCGCTTGCTACAACTTGTAATAAAGTTGTTACATCTTGGCTTAACGTGTTTATGACGTATTAGAACGTTGCTACAACTTGTTATATTGGTTGTTATAACTGGTTAGGTGTTAAAACTTGTTCGAACGTTGTACCAACGTCGTAGTTTCGGTGTGTGTTTGGCGGGTTATTTGTAAACATGATACTGGATTATGGTTTATGAGTGTAAGAGGTAGAGTAGTTGGGTAGATACAGCCGATGTATTTAAGAGCTGATGGCAGTCAGCTCTTGATCCCAAGATGATCAGAGTCAACCCGGCCTCTTAAAAATAACGTCACTTTTGGCTCGTATGCGCACTATGGCCAAATTTGGACGTAATTTGAAATGAAATCGACTCACAAAAGTGACGTACTGTTCCGTTTTCTGTTTGAGTCGTCCGGCTTACTCGGCAAGCTTAGAAGAGGAACTTTCAATTAACGTTTTTCATAACGTTTTGAAACTTTATGAGAATTTCCTGCCCACCTAACCTATCAGAGGACCCTTAACTTACTGGTGTTGAAAAAAAAATCCCTAATTTATTTTCAATTTTTTTTTCATTTTCAAATTACGTCCATATTCGGCCATACGGGCAAACGGCCAAAAGCGACGTTCTTTTTAAGAGGACAGGTTGATCGGCCAAACTGTTGAGCTTGGAACACGAGTCCAGGAGGATCAGAGTGAGCCAAGTGTTTAGCTTGGAAAACTGTCACGCGTGACATCAGAGTGTATTGGTAGACATGATATAATCTAGGTTCAGTCTAGGCCACCAACATAGAATTCATCTCTCATCAAACATCTTGATAGAAATAATAAGACATTTGACACAACTCTAAGTTACTTTACCAGTCGTGTAATTTTTTCCATTACAACTTGCTGTGAGTTATTCAGCAATTTGAACTAAAGAAAACATGGTTTATTAAGAATCTACCATTTAAAATTGTAAGTTATTTTACATAACTGAAAGATTTAAACAGTTTCAAAATAAAATGTATATACTGTATTATATAAACGTTAACCAAATTTCTGTTTTGCATGCTCTCAGTCCAGTCGGGGTGAGAATAGCTTGAGCTACCTCATCCCTTTGTGTGTATTTTACATCAATAAACTTATTTCAATTTCAATTCAATTTCAGTCCAGTCTCTAGAGTCGCCTACTTCACGGCTGTCTTCCTTAATGACCACAAGTCAATGGAGCAGCTCAAGATGGACCTGGTGATGATAACAGCATCAATCGTCACACTGGCTATCCTGCTGGCTACCTGCTATCTTCACAGGGAACACAAGAAGATCAAGACACAATATTCTCCACGTGAAATGTCTCGAGTGCAGTGCGACCGGATGCACGACAATGTAAATTGTGTAACACAACGACGCGCCAAGCCAGTATGACTACATAGCACTTAGGAAGGAGTATAATGACATGAAGTTGGGATATAAGGATAAGGGGCTCGAATATAAGGACATGGAATTGGGATAAAAGGGTAAGGAATTTGGATCTGGGGAAGAAGAACTGGGATACAAGGACAGTGAAGGAGCTGTGATTGAGAGACTGTGATTCTCCCGATTACTTCAGATACGAAAAATTACTTACAAGGAGAGGTGGGGGGAGGTGCCACGAATCTGGATCTCACTACCAGACAGCTGTCAAGAGGGTGAGTCTCCAGAAGGAGTCTACAGAGATTGTGTGAGCCAATCGTTAAAATGTGATGTTAATTTGTGATATGCAATCTATCCGTCACCATGTAAATGAATGCAAGTTTATTAGTAATTTCAATCACTTGAGGATTGAATAGGCTCCTATTGACTATAGGCTCCTATAGCCTATTGGCTATAGGAGCCTCGAACCACAGCCACCAGATCAGAAGGCCGTATCTATAACCACTTATGCTACTGAACACCCATCATAAGAAAGGATCTCAAAGATATGAACAGGACATCAATGGTCCTCAGTTAACCTCACCAACAAGAATAAAAAGTCATAATTTTCACTTAATTATACATTATATATCTATACAACATATATTATCAGTTCACATATTATATATACTTGAACAATCTAGCTGCAATTAAAATTATTTATAATTTTAATTTTGAACGTGACAATTTAATTAAAACTGTAATTAAAATGATTTATAATTTTAATTACAGCTAAATTATTATAATTTATAATGTAAGTTTTATGATTTTATTATCTATCATTATATTTAATAATTATGTATAATTATCAACCATCAAAATAGTTAATTAAAATAATTGTTTATGATTAGCAGTTTTCATAGTAGATATAGTCAGTATATAGTTATGTATTACACTAATGTGTAATACGTTAGTGTATTAACATAAAATTATGTATTACACTAATGTGTAATATATTAGTGTATTAACAAACATAAAATTATCCATAATCATTTGTAAATTAATTATAATATACATTTTCCTTAGTAAAATTTAAGTCTTTAAGATGTATATTTGTCACTGACAAGGAATTTTGATGTATACTTGTATTAAGTATTAAGATGTATGCTTGTCACTGACAAAGTATTAAGATGTATACTTGTCATTGACATAAAACATTAAGATGTATACTTGGTTCTGATAAAGTATTAAGATATATACATGCTACACGGAGCAGTCTCCGTGGTGTAGTGGTAAGACACTCGCCTGGCGTTCCGCGAGCGCTATGTCATGGGTTCGTATCCTGGCCGGGGAGGATTTACTGGGCGCAATTCCTTAACTGTAGCCTCTGTTTAACGCAACAGTAAAATGTGTACTTGGATGAAAAAACGATTCTTCGCGGCAGGGGATCGTATTCCAGGGACCATAGGATTAAGGACTTGCCCGAAACCCTACGCGTACTAGTGGCTGTACAAGAATGTAACAACTCTTGTATATATCTCAAAAAAAAAAAAAAAAAAAAAAAAAAAAAAAAAAAAATACTAACGAATAGTCTTAACCTGGAAACTCTACAAGAAATAGTTTTCTTTAAGAAATTTAAAAAAAAAGGTGATCCCAAAATCCGGCTTAAAAGGTTCCATACTTCTTTTTCTTGGTTTGATTTTTAATATCGGCGAGTAAAGCATAAATGTCTTTATATTGTTGTTTAATATGTTTAAGTGCATTGTCATCTTTAGCGTCTTCTAGGAGCTTGCTAAATGTTTTCATCATTTGGAACAGTCTATCCATTTCTTCGTGAACAGAACTTTGGTCCAGACCTTCCTCGTCCTTCTCTGGCACTGTAACTTCTGTATTTCCGAAATATTTGTCTACGAATGTGGGATCTTTGTTGACTTTCGACCATTTGTTACAGGCGTAGGACCGGCGAACGAAGGGAAAGCATATATCAAGCCGGAATATCAATCCAACTCTGAGTGAGACTCTCCTGAAGCTGAGAGAGTATTGTTTGTCATCAACGTGTGCCTCACTTTGTCTGCTGATCAAACTCATTATTAACGAGACCACTGTGGTGACAAACAGGAAGAAGATGATGTTGGTCTCGATAGGATACTGGAGCTGAGGTCTGACGAAGATATCACCGTAGTCGAGATCAAGGATCATCCAAGCCAGGGAGCTTCCTACTGCCTGTGGGAACGTCTTGAAGTTGTCCTGCTCCTTAAGCAGAAGGTTGAATATAAATGCAAAGATTAGAACAAACATGATCACAAAGAAAAGAACCCTCAAGAATATCTTCAAGATGTCTTTTAAGACGGGCAGGAACTCCGTCATGAATGTTTGGTTGACGGAATTGAGTAGACAGAGCCATGCCAGGAGCACTGTCACCACGCCACACTGCCATGCCGTCTCCTGCAAAACCATCTTAATGTTACAAAGTGTTACTCATTAACCTTAAAAATAAGTAGTTCTTTTAGCTTATGCCCAAGACACATTGGTTATTAGTGATTTTATATATTGTTAACAATTTTTGTACCTACTAAGTAATCACTGTATGTTGTTGTTGTTGTCTTAGATTCAGCTACTGGGAACAAAAGTTCCAAGTAGCACGGGCTACGGCGAGCCCGTAGTGGACTTACCTGACAGGAGTAGGGCTGTAACTTAATCACTGTAACATGCTCCTATGTATATATTTCTCTCTTCAGTCTCTTCCATTATTTCCTCCTCTCCCTCTCCCCCGTCCTTCCTTGTCTCCCACTCTCCCTACTCTCACCTCTCCCCATCTTTCCCTATTCCCTCCCCTTCCCCACCATCTCACAAAATAACTCAAGAACATGATAAGTCTATAAATATATTTTGACCGTATGACAGAATTAACAGTGTTAATTAACAGAGGCACAGGTTCAATACTATCACACGGCCTCAATGTGTACTCATTTAAGCAGAGATGTTTCTCACCGGCTGGACGGCCCCGAGAGAGAGTCGACACTCTGGTGCGAGTCCCAGAGGAGAGAAGATCAACACAAGAGTACAGATCAACTGAAAACTCTTGGCCATAACCTGGCCGGCGGTGTCAGGGGTGAAGTACATCTCTCGCAGCTGTGGAAGATATTTGATCTCATCAAAGTTCCATGGTTACCGTCAACATTTACAATGTGTTCAAGTATGTTTATTGAGACAAGAAAATATACATCTCAAAGGGATAGAGAAGCTTAGGCTATTTCTACCCCCCAAAGGGATAGAGAAGCTTAGGCTATTTCTACCCCCCAAAGGGATAGAGAAGCTTAGGCTATTTCTACCCCCCAAACAATGTGTTTAATATCGACTGATGCAAGTACTGTATTCAAAGTAATACATTTGCAACTCTCCAATTGACTAACTTTGTATATGAAGTAGAGTTCTTGCAGAGATATCCAGATACAGGAGAAGTACAGCGAAATGTAGAACCTCCTCGGTGTCTCCAAATGGTCCTGACTCCATATCTCATCACAGCTACTTATGTGCTTAATATTCCTGTACGAAATATTAGCTAAATAAGCTTTACTGAAAACACTAAAGAAATTTTAAATAATTTACGAAAATCAACGTAGATTTTACGAAGGATAATACAAATGACAATTACTAAAAGATAAAAGAAAACTAATGCATCAAACAGCAAAATGTATCTGACCTACAACATTATACATAATGACCAATAACAGTCTCCGTGGTGTAGTGGTAAGACACTCGCCTGGCGTTCCGCGAGCGCTATGTCATGGGTTCGTATCCTGGCCGGGGAGGATTTACTGGGCGCAATTCCTTAACTGTAGCCTCTGTTTAACGCAACAGTAAAATGTGTACTTGGATGAAAAAACGATTCTTCGCGGCAGGGGATCGTATTCCAGGGACCATAGGATTAAGGACTTGCCCGAAACGCTACGCGTACTAGTGGCTGTACAACCATGTAACAACTCTTCTATATATCTCAAAAAAAAAATAACAACAGGACCAAAAGACAGTCTCAGGGAACCTACACAACCTACCATAGGGAGTAGGTAGTGTCATGTTCACAGAAAATGGTACCATCCGTTTTCTATGTGCGGCGGCTGAGACGCCAGAGAGAGAGGAGGTAAACAAGAGCATACAGGACGCCCGCCAAGCTTGGTAGCTACTAGTCATGTAATCATATTAAGTATTAAAGTCAGTAACCAAGTCATGACTTTACATCAACCCTACAACCAAGACTTCCTCAGTAACACACAACACCACAGGTAGGAACAGAACATGATAAGCAACATAACCGGATAAAGATCAACAACAGTGTTCAAACACATTTTGAAAACTCTTTAATTCCAGCAAAGGAAGTTGTATACAGTATAATTTTTTTCGGTATAATAATCACTGAAAATGAATAACGATGGAATAAAAAAAAACTTATCAAATAAACAGAACACTTTACATAGGATCTTGATATTACAGTTGGGTTTGTTCTCGACTCACAATCGGGATTTCTGGACGGGACAGAAGTTGTTGGGCACGTTTCCTGTCACCTAATGCTTCTGTTCACCTAGCAGCAAATAGGCACCCCAGGAGTTATAGTTAGCTTATTGTGAGGTTGCATCCTAGGGAGGGTTAATAGTTCGACCTTGATATAAACCTAACATTAAATATTATATATATATATATATATATATATATATATATATATATATATATATATATATATATATATATATATATATATATATATATATATACATATACATATACAGGCTGCCTGTCCCCGACAAATTGAGATTAATTATTATATAAATAAATTAAGAATAGATAAATATTTCTAAAAGAAAACAAGATGTTTACAAAGTACTTTAAAATCCAACCTGTGGTAAGTTCCAAGCCTAAGGCAGCCCTTGTGCGCCATAGATGCCTGCCTATTGGTTCCATCTCCAGCCGGCACAGAAATGGTTTGGCACGTTTCGTTTCACCCAAATGCCTCTGTTCACCTAGCAGCCAGCAAACAGGTACCCGGGAGTTAGGTAACTGTTGTGGGGTTGCATCTATGGAGGGTAGGTAGTTGGGTTAGGGGTGGGGGCGGTGATAATCTAAGCACAGGCTTTGTGTCGTGACAACCCCCGTGAGAATAGCTGGAGCTACCTCATCCCTTTGTGTATTTATACCGCAATAAACTTTTTGGAGATATATACAAGAGTGTTACATTCTTGTAGAGCCACTAGTACGCGTAGCGTTTCGGGCAGGCCCCTGGAATACGCACCCCGCCGCGAAGAATCGTTGTTACAACCAAGTACACATTTACTGTTGAGTTAAACAGAGGCTACAGTTAAGGATTTGCGCCCAGTAAATCCTCCCCGGCCAGGATACGAACCCATGACAAAGCGCTCGCGGAACGCCAGGCGAGTGTCTTACCACTACAGCCACGGGACTATTTCAATTTCATGTCGTGACAACGGAAATTAATTAATATACCGCCTTCATCAGCGCTACTTATAAGTGTGAGGTAAATGGATCCTCTGATTATAATAATGAAAGGTCGAGTTTTATCAAATGTTTTTAGCTCAGGCCACAGGGTTTACCACCTCTTAATTATCATTCTAAATGTGATTCTGTTCTTGGCTAACATTACTCACAGAGACGCCGACATCACTCACCGGACGGTGGCCATGTAGCCCACGAGGAACACAAAATGGAGCATATCCATCAGTATAAAGAAACAATGGATCCAACAGATATAGGAACTCCACTTGTAACTGAGCCAGGCTTGGGTCAGTTGGTCATGTAGGAGGTCATTCCTCATGCCTTGGATCATGTGTGTCACCGGGTGGTTCTTATACTTGCTCTCGGGATACCGCTCTATTGCTCTATGATGTAATTTGCCGCTCTTAACAAATGGACTCTCACCCTCATCTGGAAGTTAAATTTGAGACATTAGTAGCTAAAGTTATTAGATTGATATTCTTTATGTCACAGTTGCTGGGTTTAAATAATCTTCAAATGATAAAGTACCTTATTATTAAATTTGAAATAGCTACTTAGCACAAACATATAATTTATATAAACGATATGCAACTCATATCCAAAAATTACCTGTCCAAATGTACTGAAAAAAATTGCAAATACCTGGGGTTAAATTTTAGATTTCCAATAAGATGGCTTTCATTATAATTCATCATATCTACATTTTAAACTGCGTATGAAGTCTGCCTACACCACATCACAACCTAATGCATTCCACCTGTTAACTACTCTGACACTGACAAAGTTATTTCTTATGTTCCTGTGGTTCATTTGGGTACTCTGTTTTCACCTTTGTTCCCTTGTTCAAGTACCACCTGTGTGTGTGTGTACAGGAGCTACCTAGTAGGATGGGGGGCGCTAGTAGAGTGCTGGGGCCAGATTCACGAAACACTTACTCAAGCACTTACGAACGTGTACATCTTTCCTCAATCTTTGACGGCTTTGGTTACATTTACTAAACAGTTTACAAGCATGAAAACTTCCCATTCAACTGTTATTATTGTTATAAACAGCCTCCTGGTGCTTCGGAGCTCATTAACTTTAATAATTGGAAACAAAGCCGCCAAAGATTGAAAAAAGATGTTCAGGTTCGTAAGTGTTTGCGCAAGTGCTTTCGTGAATCTGGCCCCAGATTCCTCTTCTTATAACTTATTGGCTTACAGCACCATATTATTATTTAGGGTTTTCTCTTTACAGTTTATGCTGAATGCCCACATTCTCAAATGTTTATTCTTGAAACCTGGATATTCTAAAAAAAAAGTCTTGATAATCTATAGCAGTAATAATTAAGTAATAATATAAATAAAGTGCTAATCGTAGAAAACTATATAAAGCTGATGGTATTACAGAATATTCAAGAGTTCCTAGATATCATTCAGGATGCAATTACAAGCCACAAAACTAGTGGTTAAAAATAATCAGATTCTTCGTGGAGTTTATAATGGGACATAAGGCTAAAGAAGCAGTGAGAAAATCTAAATTTCAAATAATCTTGACAATCAGAACATTCTACAAGAAAATCCATTGTTGTTAATGGAAGAATGTAGTCCTTACAATAAGGTGAAAAGCTCTGATCCATTAAGAAGCCATGAGTTAAACTTGCGTGGCCAATACACAGCCTAGCCAAAGATATTTTCCACTTGCAGTGTTGGTGACAAGGAGGGCTGAAGATATTGGACACATTTGATAGTATGTAAATTTGTAATTTTTAATAATTACCCACTTTTATCCCCAACGGTTGCTAACTGTATTATGAATGACGGCAGAAATTAAAGTAAGAAATTAGTTTCTATAGATGAGACGGCCATAAATGATTTCTTTAGCAGCAACGTCCGCGAGGATATTATTTGAGGCTACAGCAACATGGCTGGGAACCGAAGAAATCTGAATTGTCTTAAATCTGTTAAAGATGAGATACAGCCAGAGTTGGATTTCGATCATTATGAGATGAGAATGGGAAGTAGATTTGCACCGAGAGTTAACTACAAGAACGTAATCAACGAAGCGACGTAAACAATTGACGGATTTGTCAACAAAAGTGGAAGCTTCGTACTTTCATTACTTAACTGGCAATGCATTGAGTATTCTTTATCTAAGTGGTGACCCGGAACACTATTAGTATACAAACCAACGGAAGACACGACAAAATTAGGAAATTATTAGACAGGTGAAATATCTGGTGATGTCTAGGTAAACAAAGGTAACATCAAGATATGTCAACTGCGATGGTTCCCACAGTCTGTGGGAACCATCAATAGCCCGCTAGCTGACGAAATGCCTCGCAAGTCTCCACATGGTATGTAGGTGCTCGAACGAGTAAGGTAGTTAAGTGCGCATGAGCAGGAATTCACGCTCTATCAATGATGAGAGTGCTCCCCCATACGACCCAACGCTCTGTTAGTGAAGCACTGCATCAAGGTCAGCACGCAGTGAATGGTGTATGTCACACCTCCACCGACCGCATAAGCGTCAGCTGTGGTGCATACCTCATTCAGTAACACGGAGCATCACCAACCAGACATTTGTCACGGTCATTAGCACGCCCAACGAGCCGGCAACTCTCGCTAGCTCACAGCTGGCCTTGGGCAGGAGCGCACCTGCTCCACGCCATTCCACAACCTCACACCATTTACCTGAGGGCCAGGACAGGAAACCGGCGGCTTGTCGAAGGTCCCCCATTTACCTTGATCTTTTCCAGTTGTACTTTAAAAGTTAACAGAGTTTTGGCATTTACGGCTTCGGCGGGAAGACGGTTCCATGGGTTTATAACCCTGAGGGTGAAAAAGCATCTCCGGTTCTCAGTCAGGAGATGCTTCTCAGTCCTTTTACGAAGTCAACACCGGAAAATGCTGCTGCAGCAATGGAAGGCCTAGTTACCAAATGAAAGAAAACACGCTAATTAAAGCCTTAATTAATAGGAGATGCTTTACACCCATAGGGTTGTAAACCCGTGGAACCGCCTTCCCGTCGAAGCTGTAAACTCCAAAACTCTGTTGGGTTCTAAAATACAGCTGGAAAAGATCATCAGGGCAAATCCTGATATGAGGATTTGCTTGATTATCATATGAGGCGACATATGACAAGCCGCCGGTTTCCTGTCCTTGTCGAAGCTACTAGTATTTAGTGGCCTCTCAGGTAAAACCAATGTACTTGAGCTGACAATTAACAAGACATATATGAAATCAGATAATTCCGAGCCTAATATAGGGGCAGCGCGCAACAGAGAAGGATAATATGAGTAGCAGCCTGATGGATAGTGACACACTGAACAGTAAACGCAAATAATACCAAAGAGGAAGAAGACAGACCATGCAAGAGGAATGTGAACCACAAGGATCTGAAGCTGAACAACAAAGACGCATCGCAGCGGCAACAGCCTGTGACTGACATGCAAACTCAAGGTAAGACGAACAGTTTCTGGTGTTAAACAACAGCAGAATGGATGCACAAAATGAATGCATCATATCCGAACGCATCATACCCGAGTGCATCATACCTGCATGTATCATACCTGAGTGCATCATACCTGCATGTATCATACCTGAGTGCATCATACCTGCATGTATCATACCTGAGTGCATCATACCTGCATGTATCATACCTGAGTGCATCATACCTGCATGTATCATACCTGAGTGCATCATACCTGCATGTATCATACCTGAGTGCATCATACCTGCATGTATCATACCTGAGTGCATCATACCTGCATGTATCATACCTGAGTGCATCATACCTGCATGTATCATACCTGAGTGCATCATACCTGCATGTATCATACCTGAGTGCATCATACCTGCATGTATCATACCTGAGTGCATCATACCTGCATGTATCATACCTGAGTGCATCATACCTGCATGTATCATACCTGAGTGCATCATACCTGCATGTATCATACCTGAGTGCATCATACCTTCAAAGCATTGAATTTAAAAACAATTTGTCCTTAATAATAATGCTTTGATGTTTTTTTTTTAACATGAATAAATATCAAGGAATGATAGCAAATCAATATATTATATCATCAAATCATTCCCATAAAACTATACCTTCAGGAAGCCAATAGTTGTCCTCGAACAATGTAAAATCATATAGTACATTCTTTTTGTCTTCTGAAATGTACTTCTTCAGTAGCTGAAGGGAGAGTTTCGGGTAGGTTTTCACAAGGGTACTGACATTCAGACACTCTTCCTTCATCCCTGTGTGGAATGGTACATCCCACCATGAACTGTTCATGATAACCTCTAAGACTTTCCTGTAGGAGAAGATAAGGTGAGGTAATTATCAGGGGGAACGCAAAGTCAGTATGGCTACATAGACGAGGGAAAGGAACTATTAGGAGATAGAGCGCCAAGCCATTTGCGACTATACAGCACTTGGAAGGGGTCAGGATAAGGGTTTGAGATGGGATGGGGGGGGGGTTGGAGGAATGGTGTCCAACCACTTGGACGGTCGGGGATTGAACGCCGACTTGCATGAAGCGAGACCGTCGCTCTGCCGTCCAGCCCAAGTAGTTGGTCTGCTGAAGGAGAGAACATTAGCATTCCCTTTTTCTTTTATTCAGAGACGTTTGATATGTTGACCTTCCTCTCCATAAATCACATCTCATGCTTACCTTATATAATCACAAGCTCAGTTATTTGTACTACTGCGCAGTACATGATCACTAGAATAACTGCTGTGGAGAATATGATCACTGCGATCACTACAGTAGAGTAAATGATCACTGAGATCACTACTGTGGAGTATATGATCACTGTGATCCTTATCTTCATTGAGAACTGGAAATACAATGAGGAAATCGCTCAAAAGAAACCCCAGAGAAATTTGGAGAAATGCAATAAAGAATCCGCCTGTTTCTGACTTTGTTACTCGGGAAAAAGTAGTCGAATCCGCTAAACAAATTGACGTTTCTTTGGACAAAGGAATATTGGCCTTGATAGGTTAGGCTAGGCTACTGGTGAGGAAAACCACTTGAAATTTGGCGCTTCAGTTTAGGCAAAACAACTTAAAATTTGGCGCTAGTCATGTAGTAAGAACGTGTTGGGATATTGATCACAGTCATGTCTCTGCTTTCAACATAATAATTAATGTATTAACGCTTTGCGAAAAGCTTTGCGTAATAGTGGCTTTAGGCATTGTATGTACTAGCTCTATCTATAAATTCATCAATTTTTGTATCACCCCTTGTATGTATGTATTTTACCTAAATAAACATTTGAATAAATTCAACTTACCTGTGCTTGTTCTCGAGAGCTTCTTGAAAATATTTCCTCAAGTTTGTCGTTAATAGCCTCACTTTAACTTCTAAGTTGACTTCATCACCGTATTTATTCTTCGAACTCTCGTCTGGATTTACTGACTTCGACTTTCTCTTCTCAATTTTCTTCATATGCTCATGCAGAAAGTCTAGTGACGTATTTTGTAAAATAAGATCAATAATTTTCAGATTCTCATCATTCTGAGAGCCTAGTTCGTTGTACCTCTTGAACGCTTTATCAAGGGGAAAATGTTTATCTTTGTTGAACACCAGGAGAGGTGCTTTACTCTTACTGATCAGGAATTTGCAAGAATCCAAGCAACCTTGGCTCACAGCAACGTGTAGTGCAGTATCACCCATGTTATCTTGCTTGTGCATTGATAAGTGAACCAGTTCTTGTATAATCGTCGCATCTTTGTGTTTTGCAGCTACATGTAAGGGGGTTTGACCATCCTTGTCCTGAACTGAAGGATTTATTCCATGTTGATTCAAATATGAACGAATCAGTTTGACAACCCTTCTATTATAGCTCTGCGCTGCCATGTGGAGTGGAGTCTCACCATTGCTATTAATTTTCATAAGAGACCTAGCATTTTTCTCGACTATTTTTTGGCAGACATCCAGTAAGCCCTTTTTGGCAGCTGCGTGCAAGGGAAATAATTTATTTGGAGAGTCTGTTACTGATGCTCCCGCCTGCAGCAGCTCATCAATACACTGATAAGAATGGCATGAGATAGCATGATAAAGCGGCGTTCCTGTTGATTTTTGTGGGTTCACTTCATGCACAAACTCATCATTTATTGCAGCTTTAACAGTTGGAATACGAAGCAGACACTTCAAGCAGGCTGTGCTTTTATTGTGCACAGCATAATGAAGAACCCCCTTTCCTGCCTTGTCTTTAAGGCTTAAATCAGTTTGTGTAGCTAAAAGTTGGACACATGTAAGCCTATTTAAACGAAGCGCCTCGAGAATTGGAGTTTTGCCGGTTATATCTTTTAGTGAAGGATTTGCATCTTTTTCGAGCAAGAACTCTAATGTCTTATAATAACCACTTGAAGCTGCATAATGCATAGCTGTTTTCTCATCCTTATCAGCAACATTAATATCTGAACCAATTAAGATCCGGCAACAGTCATAGTGACCCCGCATTACGGAAAGCATAAACGGTGTACGGCCATCTTTGTTTTTCACATCAAGCTGGCTTTTAGCATGATCTTTACCATCAACTTTCTTTTTAGCATTGCTAATCAAGATCTCACAGCATGCCTTATAACCTGCCTGGGCCGCATAGTGTAAGGGCAGGAACTTCTCATTATCTTTCATACGCGTTTTAGCTCCTTTATTAATTAATAGTTCCACAATACCTTCATGCCCACTAATTGCGGCTAAATGGAGAGGAGTTCGATTATTTTTGTCTTGTTTATTTATGTTTGTTAATTCTTGATCAAGTAGTTCCTCACATTTAGTATAATTTCCAGTGCTTGCAAACTGGTGGAGGGTTGCTTCAGTGTCACAGTTGTGTAAGCTGGATATGTGGTCGCCTAGGCCGTCTCCAGCATCTACTGTTGGTGGAGTGACTTGGGCTGGGGGCGTACTGGCAGCATCTTCACCAGTATTGTCAGTTATTGGCAATAATGCCACAGTTTCTTTACCATCAACTTTCTTATCGGCGTCCGTCTCTGTTCTGAAAAGGAACATATCTTAAGTGGCCAATACAAAATGTATGTGATCATTTATTTTTGTATCTACTTGGTACATTTTTAGGAATCAGCTTTACTATACACTATCATCACTGTAACCATCAACACCACACACGACATTTGCCCTTACTCAACCCGTCCTCAGACCAAGTCCATTCCATCCAGCGGTCGACCCCAAAGACGCATTCATAAATTTTAACATGCTATTCATTAAAAATAGTAATTTTCTCAAATATAAATTAATATTGTTATATATTCAAATGTAAATTAATATTATTATATATTAGCAAACTGCATATTTAGGCACTGGTTAGGTTAGGTGTTTAGGTTCTGTTGGCGATTATTTGTATTTGTAGTACGTGGGTGAAGCAATTACAGTGTTGTGGTTCGAACAAAAGTCGTCAGTGAAGCACTTGTTCCGGAAGTGTTCGAACGTCATCAGTTGTGAGTCGTGTGAAAACAGTGTTTCATTGATAAACAGGGGGTTTGGCGGGTGCATGGAATGGACTTTGGGTCTTTGTTTATGAGGACGGGCTACATTACTCGATACTTGCTAAAGTTTGGTCTCGTAGCTTAGATTTTCAAAAGTGAATTATTCTTTTGGCCTTCCCTTCACCACCTTGAATATCTTTCACCACCATCCCTACCACTCACCAACACCCCTTTCTTCACCACAATCCTAACCCTTCACCACCATCCCTACCCTTCACCACCATCCCTACCCTTCACCACTTCCCCTACCCTTTACCACCTTCCCTAATCTTCACAGTCTTCCATGCCATTCCCCATATTTCCTAATCGTCACAACTTTCATCACTGTAACCATCTTTCACTGAACTACATAAGACAAACCAACATTTAATCACAAAGAAAATAATATTCTGGGTGAATTCTAGTGAGGCCGGAGTCTGGTGTTTAGCAAGACAGGAAATTGATATAGTTTGCCATTTCATACGAAGGATGAGCATAGAGGTTGATCCCGACCCGCTTATGACCATCCCACCCCAGACAACCACTAGTCACCCTGCAAAGTTTTGCAACGCTATCTCAAGCTTCTTCTTGTTTAAGATTTGCTACCTGGAACAAAAAGTTCTAAGTAGCACGGGCTATGGTGAGCCCGTAGTTATCTCAAGCGTCTGGATATATATATATATATATATATATATATATATATATATATATATATATATATATATATATATATATATATATATATATATATATATATATATATGTTAATAATGCTAGACCAACCTTCCTCGATATGTGGTACTGCTAGTGCCTGTTAATGATTCTGGATTGTTTCTATGGCTGTTGGAGCCACCAGCTTCCATGTCCTGATCTGGAAAAAAACTTTTCTTGTGAGGTGCACTTATATAACGATGTTATATCTTGGAAATATTAATGTCCTTTCGCATATAGGTTCAAATCCTCATCAAGATCCTTATGAATTTGCTCAATATTATTATTATTATTATTATTATTATTACCTGAGGCTTCCGGCCCAGCCAGCCTCCGGAAGTTAGTCCTCAACCAGCTCTTCATTCTGAAAATTTGTGAAGGTATTAATTTCTGAGAGAAAGTGTTAGATCAATGAGTCCTAACACCAATCACTAACACTATATGTGTTATGCTCGTCATTGCTTGGGAAGCAAATTTAAAAATTCACAATTTTTAAAGTTCTTTTTACAATTTGTGCCTGAGGCTTCTCGCAAAGTGACGTGTTACGCTGAAGCTCTCGCCAACATCTGCGGAGGCAGCATAATTGCAAATATATAGTAGCAGGTTGGATATAATGCCATGAAGAATGAGGTGATGCCCCGGTAGTACAGTCTGGTAATTCATTTTCGACTCACACTCTGGAATTCCGGGTTCGAATCCCGAGCAGGATATAAATGGTGGGCCCGTTTCCTATCCCCTAATGCCTCTGTTTACCTAGTAGTAAATATATGCACAGGAGTTAAGTCTGTTGATTGATTGTTGCTGCCGGAGGTGGTTAGTTTATTGTGCACCCCATACTCATCCTGTGAGCGGTAGCGCAAAAATGGATCACAGAGGGCACAAAAGGTCTTTATCAGACCTCAACGGAGATTATTACATTAACAATTACATCTAACCTGCAAACCTTATAATTACACTTGCTTACACTCCACACCCCAGAAGTGACTCGAACCCATACTGCCAGGAGCACTATGCAACTGGTGTACAGGAGACCTTAACCGCTTGACTCGATGAAATACCTTATCCGCTCGACTTGATGAAATATCTGAGCCCCAAATTGTCACGAGAGCTGAATTAGGTTAAATTCAGACAACTTTCCTATACTTTTGTATAGGCTGATGACAGAGTGGTTACAGTACTGGAGACGCCAAGGAACATGGAGGCCCTGGCTGACCGAGTTCGATTCCTTCAGGCGTCCAGAGTTTTTTAATGCATGTTAGCTTGGGTAAAATTCAAACTTGACACGCATATTACAAAATAACACAGATAATGAAATTCTGACCTTTGAAAATATGATGACGTGATCACACCCAAGACAACTTGTGGGGGGGTAGGGGTTCAATTCCCGGCCAGAGCGAAACGTTTGGGCACGTTTCCGTTCACCTGTTCACTCGGAAGATCACCAATGGGTCGCATCCAGTAGACGTTAGCTTCGTGAGACCTCCATAAGCCAATAGTCAGACTGATCTCACCCTCCTCCCTCGAGAATGGGAAACCTGTTGTTGGAGATTTACACAACGTTCTAAGCTGATGACACAACTTAAAGGACTTGTGGGTGTAGCGTGCGGGTACACACACACACGTGCGGGTACACACACACACGTGCGGGTACACACACACACACGTGCGGGTACACACACACACACTGGTCCCCACCACCAACACTTGTGGGGTGGTTGCCATCAACACTGGCACCTTTGTACAAGGGGGTGCCACCTCTCGCAAAGGTACTCTTCATTACTGACATTCTAATGATGTTCTCTATTTACAAATCAACCTTTATTTTCATTACGTATACGGATTGACTTACATAGAGTGAGTTTGGAAGCTAATAAATTAAAACAAGAATAACTGTAAATTAAATATTATATTGTAAATTGGCACATTGCAATGATAGCTCTGCGGTGTGTGAGTGTCTGTCCGCCAGACGTACGATAATGTGGTGCTAGGTTAAAATAATTCTATAATAAACAATATTCTTTAAAAAAAATATGATTTATTAAGATGAATTCATCGTAAGACTTAAAACAAAGTAGAATGTCTTAAACCAGATTGATATTCTGGTCAAATTCTCCTAAACTTGCCATAAACGCTGTGTGTATTAGTGGCTTTAGGTATTGTATGTATCAGCTCTATCTATAAATCCAACATTATGTTTGTAACTCATCTTCTATGTATGTACTTTTACCTGAATAAACATTTGAATGTTTGAATTTGAACTGTTTACAAAACTCAAGTGACCTTGCTGAGATACCAATTTACAACAAAAAACTAGAGTTTTAGCTCCAGCCATTGCATTCCTCTACAAAAAAATCACGTAAATTCCAAACCTTTTCAGATATTCTTAAAAAAAAGGGCGTTTAAGGGGCTGGACCTTGTTATCGTAATTCTTCTGTCATTATGTCGCAGGTATTCCCTGCGTATATCTGTAGGGAGGGAGGAGGAGGAGGATGCTGCAAGGGATTGCGATCCTAGACGAGCTTCCATGCATGGGTGTCAAGGGGAGACTCATGAAATGGATTGAAGACTACCTCACAGGGAGGAAAGCCAAGGTCTATCTCACAGGGAGGAAAGCCACTGTCTGCTTCAACGGAGCAATCTCAAGAACAATGAATATGGAACTCGGGACTCCCCTTCCCCAAGGAGGAGTCTTAAGCCCCACACTATTTAGCATACTTATGAACACCATTGCAAATATTGATTTTCCGGAAGGAACGCAACAAGTGGGGTATGCAGATGATGTCCTAATACAAGCTCCCACCTTGGGAAAAATTAAACAGTCCATTGAACTCCTTGGAAGGAAATGTATTGACCTCAGTTTCATTCTTTCCACAAACAAGACAAAAGCATACTCTCGTGTGTAGACGAGGAGTCACAATAACGTGGCTGTAAAATGTTGACCAGACCACACACTAGAAAGTGAAGAGACGATGACGTTTCGGTCCGACCTGGACCATTCTCAAGTCAATTGTGATAATCAACTTGATATGGTCCAGGACGGACCGAAGCGTTGTCGTCTCTTCACTTTCTAGTGTGTGGTTTGGTCAACATACTCTCATCACAAGCGGGGAGAAAATGAAGAACTACAAATTAATGGTTTAACACTTGAATGGGTTGACCATTATCGGTACCTTGGCGTCATTGTCGGCTCTAACAAGGGGGAAGAAAGAGCTCAACCAACTCATAGGAACATGCAAAAGTCGACTCAAATGAAAGTAAGTAATTATCAAAAGAAGGCACCAAACCGGGAAGGCTATGTAGCACCATCAAATACGCAAAATAATCAGAGGGCGCTAAATATCACCAAGGATGCCAATACGAGAACAAAAACGCATAAGGCGAACGATATCAAAAGTATCCGAGTCACCAAGAATTCTATCGAGGGACAGGTGACCGCGAGGGGCGGTCGGAAAGCAAGACACACGCTCGTCCTGGAAGTCAGGACATTCAAGAAGGACATGCACGACCGTAAGAGGGACAATGCAACTAGGACAATAAGGAGTAGGGCGGCGCTCCATCAAGTGACCATGGGTTAAGCGAGTATGGCCAATACGCAACCTCGCCAGAGCTGTTTCCCACCGCCGGTTACGGTGGAAGGAGGACGGCCACGAGGAAACACAACACTTAAGAGTACGTAGCTTGTTACTAGTAACAGACAACCAAGAAGCCTGCCAACGGGTAAGGACTGAGGAATGGATAACCGGGTAAAAGTCGGAATACGGAATGCCTTTACGAGAGATGGGACAAGAGCGGACAGCTTCCTTAGCGGCAGCATCCGCACGCTCATTTAAAGACACACCAATATGGCTGGGAACCCAACAAAACTCAACCGACTTAAATTTACTGTGAACGAGAAACAGCCAATGCTGGATCTCGACAACTACTGGATGAACCGGATTAAAGGACCCGAGAGCCATGAGGGCACTACGAGAGTCAACAACAACCACAAAGGAAGACTGACAACGAGAAAGCAGGAGACGAAGAGCATAGAGAATAGCATAAAGTTCCGCTGTAAAGATGCTAGTCTCCGGAGGCAAGCGACACATATAAGTGTGATCAGGAAAAACAACAGAGTAGCCAACACCGTCCGCTGACTTAGACCCATCGGTGAAGACAGAAACGGAGCGGGAGTGAGAAGAAAAGTGCTCGAGGAAAAGGCGTTTTAGAACCGTAGGAGGGGTAAAAGCTTTAGTGATACGGGTCAAGGAAGTACAAAACCGCGGAAGAGGGACCCTCCACGGGGGCAAAGAAGGAACAACACGAGGAGAAACATCAGAAATACGAACGGAGAGAGAATCCTGTAGGCGAGATAACCGGACAGAAAGAGGGAGGTGGTGAAGAGGAACAGGAACCGCAGGAGGGGTAAAAGTTAAAGCACGACAGAGGCGAGAGGAAGGATGTTGCAAGGACCGCGCAAGATAGCGAAGACAGTAGCGATCACGGCGGTCCTGGAGAGACAGGAAGCCAGTGTCAACATACAAGCTAAGGATGGGAGTCGAACGAAAGGCACCAGAACTGAGGCGCAACCCAGTATGGTGCAAAGCATCAAGACGGCGAAGAGTAGAAGGAGAAGCAGACGAGTAAGCAGGGCAACCATAATCGAGCTTAGACAGGACGAGAGAGGAATGTAAAGCAAGGAGAGTGCGCCTATCTGCCCCCCAAGAAGTATGGGACAAGACCCGAAGGAGGGTAAGGGCCTTAGAGCACTCAACACGGAGGTAAGAGATATGGGGAGACCAAGACAAACGAGTGTCAAGGAATAACCCCAAAAGCTTCGCGGAATCTTTGTATTCAAGGGGATGACCATAAAGTGACAAAGAGGGACGAAGAACAACCCGTTTCCGCGTAAAAGTCATGGCACAAGTCTTAGAAGTAGAGAACTTGAAGCCATGACCTGTGGCCCAAGACGACACGGCATCAATCGCAAGTTGAAGCCGGCGTTGAAGGAGAGGCGAATCATCACCCTGACAACAAAGGGTAAGATCATCGACATAGAGAGCGGAGAAGACACCAGAAGGAAGAGAGGAAAGAAGACCATTGAGGGCAACCAGAAAAAGAGTAGTGCTCAGAACACTACCCTGGGGCACACCTTCGTATTGCTGAAAAGAGGGAGAGAGCGGTACCAAGGCGCACCCGAAAGGAACGACGAGAGAGGAAGCTGCGGAGAAAGAGAGGGAGATGACCACGAAGGCCAAAAGAATGAAGTTGAGATAGGATATGATAACGCCAAGTGGTGTCGTAAGCCTTTTCTAGGTCAAAAAGGACGGCAACAACGGAGGTCTTCGCAGCAAAAGCAGTACGAATATAGACCTCCAAGTTCACCAGGACATCTGTCGTGCTGCGGCACTTGCAGAAACCAAATTGAGAAGGGGAGAGAAGGTGATGGTGTTCCAGGAACCACATCAGACGAACGTTAACCATACGTTCAAAGAGTTTGCAGACACAACTTGTGAGAGCCATAGGGCGAAAGTCCTTAGGGGAAGTACCCAGAGACCCCGGTTTGCGAACAGGGAGGACAACGGCATCGAGCCAGTCCTCAGGGACTGACGACGACTCCCAGATCCGATTATACAGACTCAGTAAATACTGAGACGTGCTCGGAGGGAGATGGCGAAGCATCTCATAATGAATACCATCGGAGCCCGCCGCCGTAGAACCGCAGAGGGCCAGGGCAGAACGAAGTTCAGAGAGAGAGAAGGGATCATTATAGGGAAGCTGAAGATGAGTGCAGAAATCTAAAGGACGAGACTCAAGGACAGGTTTACGAAGAAGGAAAGATTGGGGAAGATGAAGACCAGAGCTAACAGAAGAAAAGTGGGAACCCAGTTCGGAAGCGACCTGCAACGGGTCCGCCACAAGAGTATCATGGAGGTGAAGGACCGGTGAAACATCGGGAACGAACTTACCCGCTATCTTGCGGATACGCTTCCAGATCTGGGCCAGAGGGGTCTCGGACGTAATTGTTGAGACATAAGATGCCCAACATTCACGTTTAGCTGTACGGATGGCCCTACGGGCCACCGCACTCGCTTTCCGAAAGAAAAGAAAAGAATCAGTCGTCTGCCTACGGCGGTGCCTCTTCCAGGCTGCACGCTTACAGCGGACAGCCCGAGCACAGTCCGCATTCCACCAGGGAACGCACTTCCGTGGACCCCGAGAGGAAGAGCGAGGAATAGAGCGGAGGGCAGCGTTGAAGACAGTGTCATGAAAAAGGAGGAGAGCGCGAGAGAGGCAGAAGGGAGAGGTCAGAGAGAGCAGCACTGAGGGTAAATAGGGTCCAGTCTGCCTTAGCAAACTGCCACCTAGGGAAAGAGAGGGAAGGGCGAAAAGAAAAAAAGGAAACAAGGATGGGGAAATGATCACTTCCATGGAGGTCATCAAGAACCTGCCACGTGAAATCTAAGTAAAGAGAAGAAGAGCAGAGAGAAAGATCAAGACAAGAAAGGGTGCGAGTCCGAGAGTCCAAATGAGTGGGCTCACCAGAATTCAGAAGAGACAGGGAAGAAGAGAGGAGAAACGGCTCAAGGAGGCGACCCCGGGTATTCGTCAGAACGTCACCCCAAAGAGAATGACGACAATTGAAGTCACCCAGCAGGAGCACAGGCTCCGGCAAGGAGT